CAGAGTTGAAGATGTGAGTGCGGTTGAGATCGTTGGAGGCACTACACGAATTCCAGCCGTGAAAGAAAAAATTGCCCGTTTCTTTGGAAAAGATATTAGCACGACACTCAATGCGGATGAAGCAGTAGCTAGGGGATGTGCACTGCAGGTATTATGTTCTCTTGCCTCCTTTCTCTTGCTGCTCGTTCCTTAAGCCATTTCTGCTTTGTTTCATTGTGGTGGGGTCATACAGTAAGCAGAGCCTTGTGTCTAATAGATATCACAAGGGAGCACACTTCCAAAAACATCTGTTAAGGCTGTGGGGAGACCAGGATTTTCAGATCTGGAACATCTAGGAAATTTCTGATTAAAAGAAATTTGCAGCTGATGTTTCTTGAACTGTGGATTAGGAATAGGCATGATTCTGAGGAGACACGGGAAACACAACTGTAAAGCATGAATCAGTTGTGTGGTGTTGACAGTTGTTACAAAGCACACAGGGGGATTAGAATAACAATGTGGTGCAATAAGGAATTGATTTGGGGGAAATTTCCTGGGCTAGGAGTATTAGTTAACAAGTGATTTTAGAAAACAGCTGACCCCCTTCCCCCTAATTGATTTTAACTTGCTTATCAAGTAAGAAGGTGGCTCAGAGGCTCAAGTGTGTTTGGCAGAGCAAAAGCACCAAAACTAGAAGTTGTTGATAAGAAAAGCAGCATCTGTAGTTAGGATATCACAGTCTGATGTAAGTAGTTTTGACTAAGTTCCAAGTTAACAATCCTTAAATTGTATTCTAGTTCGTACGGTTATTTTTGATATAAAGCAAAGCAAGAGATTCTATACACAAAGATATTTAGAAGGACTATACTTAATACTTAAAGAAGAACATATAGGTACTCATTATTGTTAATTATCTGTTGTATCATCATGATTCGTCATGGGGTTTTTGTTTTTCCTTTTTTCCTTGATAATGGAGTATGCCCCCTTCCCTAAGAAGTCTCCCAACTCCCCAGAACATCGGAAGTGTATCATTTCTTTAGAGGAAGAGCTCACTTTTGGTCTCTCTTTTGAAGGGTCCTGTGCTAATCAGAAACTGACTTTTAGCGTAGTCACATATTTAGTCATTTTTATGTAACTACTCTAAATCCACCTGTCTGTTGGGTGTCATCTACCCCAAATGTGAATTTACCATCACCTCCTTCATAAAATTCCTTGAAAATATGAATATTTGGGGTTTTATCTTTTTTCAGCTTCTTAGACATTCGAAGGATGATGTGGACAGAGCTGTTTGTGGATATATACACAGGTTCAAAAGTGGTACAGCTTGTAATTAAAGTTGCTGTCAGGACATTTCTGGAAAGGTCCATGTTTTTTCCCAAGCTCCTGTGAAACTTGCTGTTAGTTAACTGTTGCCATCCTAAGATTCATTGTATTATCTGTCTTTATATTTAGTGATTGGCATAGTATTTACATGATAAATCCTTTGCACTTAAGACAGTGTGTACCGTAAGCAATTTTGATTTTGAATTTAAACTTGATATCTGATTTTAATTAAAGGGTGAGTGCAATTATTTTATTCATAGCCTCCTGATAATCCTTTTTCTTTTTTCCTTTTAAGTGTGCAATTCTTTCCCCAGCATTCAAAGTTAGAGAATTTTCCATCACGGATGCAGTTCCCTTTCCAATATCTCTGGTGTGGAACCATGATTCAGAAGATACTGAAGGGTAGGTAGCAGAAGATAACTATTCAGATACTGTATTTTAATATCAAGGAAAATTAACAAATGACTTTTACAGTTGAGAGTCTGATTATTGGGATCTTTGAACAACCAACCTGATCAAAATATTTCTCTCATTTTGGTGTTAATAAATGGTGGGCTAGAATTGGTAGAGATCTCAGAGTGTTTATTCAGTTTGTGTAGCACAGTAAGTTTACATGTTTGCAATACTGAATGCTTTTTCCTTTCCTCTAGTGTGCATGAAGTATTTAGTCGAAACCATGCTGCTCCTTTCTCCAAAGTTCTCACTTTCTTGAGAAGGGGACCTTTTGAGCTAGAAGCTTTCTATTCTGACCCTCAAGGAGTTCCATATCCAGAAGCAAAAATAGGTGAGCCATTAATTTTGTGTGTTTATGCTTTTAAAGACTTAGTGTACAAATGTAAAAATTTGTCTTGATGTCGAGTGGAGTAGAATTCCACGTAAAGACATTGGTGATTTAGAATAATGGTGATGGAGGAATCTTTTCCTTCTATGGATGAAGAAATTGGCCAGTAGAGATGAAATGACTTGCTGGTGCCACTGTTACTTCCACATATTTGTGTTTAGGGACTCTTCAGTGTTTTTTCTCTTCTGATGCAGTCTCTATATTTAAAGCATCAGCACCTACTTTTACTGTTAACCTTTCTTCTGGATGGAACATTACTTCCAACTTAAAACCTGCCTCAGAACCCAGTGAAAAAAGTACATCTTTTTTGGTACACTTTTCTTGGAGAGGTTTGGCACTATCTGTCTGTTTTGACTCCTAGTTACTGGAAGTCTGTTGGAGAGCTACAGATACATCTTCCTGCGTGGCCATGTCTCTTTCCCAGGCTGAGGGCGAAATTCGCCAGCATCGCTAGATGTGTTCCAGACTCACCCTTGCCCCATACCTTTTTGTAATGAAGTTGTTTGAAGGAGTCTGACCTGACCAGTTGTGTCTTCTTTCTTATTATTTAAGACTAAAAGTGTACTGGCACAGATTGTTTGGTTTTGTTTTTAAACAGTTTTTACGAATTTATTGCCAAGAAATTGTTGAATAGAGACTGAACTTTTAATAGATAGGTTGGATTCTATGCATTAATTCCCCATCATGCAAAGGGGTATAATCCAGGTTTTTTAGTATGTCATCAAGTTAACATGTTACCACCAAAACCAAAAAGCTTAGACATACTTAAAGAACGGTCTTGAATTTCTCTTTCTCCTGTGACTTGTCTTGGATGCCCCATAGTAAATGCTGTTTCTTTAAATTATTTCCTGACCTCTAGTGATCTGATAATTATTGAATGTCAATTCCAACATCTTTCACTGACCTGGTAATTAAATATGTAACTTTCTGTGTTTGTGTAGACAGCACCTTAAATATAGGGCTGTTAAATCCCATATAGTGCTTTGCACATATGAGGTTCAAAATACTTAATTTTGGTTTAGTGATCTCTGGAATAAAGCTATTGGTGGAGATGATAGCTAACACTTAGCACTTGGTTCTGTAGTTTTACATGCTCACTGTAAACACTTGCCAACTCTGTCCATGGAAACATAGGTTAAATAACTTGAATTAGGACACATAGCCTGGGTTCAAGCCCAGGCCAGAGTCCACACTCTTAACCCCCCCTGAGTAATGGCTCTGGAACTACTGTATTTTGCATAGTAACTTCAGACTTTGATAAACAGGGGTTATCAAAACCTCTCGTATTTAAGACCTAGGGAAATGTTTTGATTATTCAGTCAGAAAAACCGTATTCCCTAAAGACCCTGTGGGATTAAAATGCATCTGGTGCTTGATATCGCTTGAGAGCCATCTACCTTACACTTGGTAACAGATTTTCCAGTCTAGTTTGTCCCTTAGCACCAATCTGGAGAAACAGGGTAGGAGGAGGCAGGGACTGCTTGTCAGCAGTGCAATATCTATGTTAAATACACCCAATCACAAGAGTGCCCTTGCTTTTGAAGGTTTTATGGCATATTAAGACTAATCTCAAAGCATTGACGTTTACCATATAACTAAGTTTATTTTATGTTTGTAGTGAAAAAGATTCTTAATTCAGTTGGTAGAGAAAATTGGGGAGATTTAGGACTAGCATACTTTCAAGCTGTATTTTCGGGCCTTTGACTTCTTTACGGAGATTTAGATGCACTTCTAAAATTGCCAGTTTCTTTTTGTTCCAGGCCGCTTCGTAGTTCAGAATGTTTCTGCGCAGAAAGATGGAGAAAAATCTAGAGTGAAAGTGAAAGTGCGAGTCAATACCCATGGCATTTTCACCATCTCTACAGCATCTATGGTGGAGAAAGTCCCAACTGAGGAGAATGAAGTATCTTCTGTTGAAACAGACATGGAGTGTCCAAATCAAAGACCAGCAGAAAACTCAGACACCGAGGTAAGTTTCTGGATCACCCTTTGTGTTTGAATATATAGTAGATTTAATTCTATAGGAGAAGGGTAGGGAAAGGTTAAAATACATGTTTCTTAATTTTGATTAGAATTTTGGGTAAGGGTGATAATAGCAGTTGCTAGGTGATGATAATATACAGCCCAGAATTTGATGACTTATGATTAAATTCTATATAGCTTAATTTGAACTGGCACATTACAATATAACTAGAGTCATAAAGTTTCTCTGAATTATTTTTTTAAAGGCATCGACCACATATTGAGAAGGCGGTGTTGACTGATGATTAAGAAAAAGACTTAAAAAAATTAATGTGGTGGAATATATACCAAATATTAAAGATTATTTTTAAAAATTGTGAAGTTGACTTTGGTATTTCAGGACTTGCTTTTATTTACATGGTTTGCACTTTTGTTTACATGGCTTGCTGTATTGTGGGAGGAGGGAAGAGAAGTATCTACATAGAGAATAGAAAGTTGTTATTGTTCACGTTCTTAATTTAGACTTTTGTTAGCATGAGTGCAGAAGAATTTTAAGAAACTTCAAGATAGATTAACTGTTAGAGTTTACTTTTGGATAATAATCACAAATAGCTTACGTGAAGAGGCAGGTGGTGTAATGTTTTAGTTAACATGTGAGAAAGTATGGTATCCTGTGGCCACACAACTCTATTAACACTGTTACCATTTCTAGAACGTTTAAAGAACATTTACATCTGAGCCTTGATTTTCTCATTTAGAAAAATTTCAAAATAATGAGTTAAATGACCAGTGCCATATACTTTGCCATTTGGCGACAGATACCATTATTCTAATACCTGTTGTATCAATCTCTTAGTGCCTTTTGGGTATATTTACATCATGAGTGCCTTGTTTTTGAATACTTCAGTGTCTGCCTTAGAATCTTGAAGTTCTGAAAGAAAATTTTAAGAGGCTTCAGGGTGGATAGAAAGTAGTTAAATTAGAATGTTTTGGGCTTTTCCCGAAGATGGGAAAAGAGCATAGCAAGCACTGATTATTGGGGATTGAGTTCTACTAACATGTAGCGTATATTCTTTATCCTGAGATCTTCTGAGGTGGAAATGGCTGGATCCCAAAAAGAAGGTGGGGACGGATGCGGTCTTGGGTATCTGTAAGCTGAAATGATGCATCCCTGAATGACTGATAGTTGGCTATTTTATGCAACTGTTCATTTCATTGAAATGGAGCTGTGTTGAGATGCTCACAGCTGCTGGTGAAATTGAAGTTTTGGAATCTTGTTTTTTGGGAGAGAGGCCTGGAGTCAACCTACTTTTTGTGCTTTTGAGAGCTTAAGAGCTGTACAAAGCTAGGTGAAAGTTTCTTAAAGGAGAGTTCTTGACTCATCACATCAATCAAAATGCCTACTACTTGGTTATTTAACTATATTAACTGCTATCGTGGAAAGAATTTCTTACAGGTTTAAGATTTGTAAGGAGTTTTCATGTGTTTATTTTGCTTTTATCCAGTCTCTTTTTTCCCCCACTTATTAAGACTTCAGAAATTGAGTGTACTGTCTTTGGTGCCCTATAACCTATTAAATTTATACAAGTACACCTGCTTTCTACATCCTTTGTGCCTGGGCTTTCATTTCAGAAAAATATCCAGCAAGACAACAGTGAAGCTGGAACACAGCCCCAGGTACAAACTGATGGTCAACAAACCTCACAGTCTCCCCCTTCACCTGAACTTACCTCAGAAGAAAACAAAATCCCAGATGCTGACAAAGTGAGTGACTCTTCTAGTTCATTCCTTTAGACAATGTTGCAACATGTGATCATTAATGATATCATTAAATCTGCAGTTTCAAGAGCAAGCACCAAGTTATCTTATTCTGGGTAGGATTTTTCTTCTGTTAATTTTTTATGTGTTTTTCAATTAAAATGAGTTAGAGGTACTCAAGCTCAACTCAGGAAACTGAATATCCTGCTTTAAACATGACAGCTTCTCTTGATGAACTGCTGCTCCGAGCAACAAGAGATGAATGCATGGCATTTCTTGTCTTCTTTGGTGCCAGACGTAGCTGCTAATGTGAGGAGCAGAAAGAGCTACATCCCAGTGCTGTGTGATGAGTTCTTACTTGCATTAGTCTGATGATAAATACACGGGCTATAGGAGTCTAGTAAACTTTTTTCTCCTCTCAAGTGACCTGTCAAATTAATTATGATCTGGTAACAACCAGATCGTACCTCAAAGTAATTTTGCTTTGCCATGCTTCCACAGTATGTATTGGAAGCTAAATGATTTGTGTGGTGTCCCTTGAATAAATGACAGCTTCTAATAAGCAAACCTTTAAAATTCATGGTCCGATAGATACCGCCAAGTTTCCATTGTGACTCCAGATCATTCTGTGCTTTGCAGAACTTCCACTTTTTGTGCAAATTGCATGTAAATTATTAATCTTTCATTAGTGATTTGGTTCTCTCTTACCCTCTGATGAATTCTAGAATTGTTCATTGGCAAAAATACATTATATACTTGGTAAAAGCTTTCAGTTTTTAATCTCATGCCCTGATTGGTCCTGGCGGGGCGGGGGGGGGGGGGGGGCCTACTATGACCTTTAGTTCGTGACTCTCTGAAAGCCGCCTTTTTCTTCTCTTCCAGAGTTGCGTGGTGGTGGAGGTGGTGGTGAAGCAGCTTTGCTTTCTTTGCCACAACAGCTCCCTGCCGTCCCCATCCTTCCCCTTCACGTAGCGTTGAGCATGAACTGACTTGTGCTGATGGTCTCAGTACCTGTCTGGAACATAACATGGGGCACCATCTCATATTCTTAGTTGTAGGTGGGACTGATAGCAGCAGACCCTCTGGAACACTGTCACATACTACTTTGGAGATTCTTCATCCGTGCCTTGTCGAGTGCCATTTTGTGATGTAATGGTTTAGTCAGTAGTCGGTTTAATGTTGGACCGTCAGAGAGTCTTATGCTGACTTCACTGCCACACATGTGCTGTCATCCATTCGTTTCCCAAATATCTGTCGTACTCCTGTGTTTTGCTAGGTGTAGATGTCATCTAACTCATCTTCCTTGTGGTTCGTGCCCCCGGAGCATGCATAGTCTGTTGGGGGGTCTGTGCACTAGAGTGAAGAAGGCATGGGGACTGCGGGCTGATTGGCAAGATCATTGTGGGTGAGGCAGCTGGCCGCACTGAGACCTGTGACTCAGGAATACTGAAATAAGTCTGGGAAACAGGAGTTCTAGTCCCGTCTCTGTCTTCATCATTTTAGGCAAGCCGCTGAACCTTTGTCAAGTCCCAGTTTCTTCTATGACGTGCCTAGAGCTTCAACCTTTTTTTTTTAACTCCCCAGAATTATCCACCGGTGGTGTTTGCCGTATCGATGGGCTATTCTTTCCTGTTTGGCCATCCCAGCCAGTCAGGGTATATGTTTTATACCCCTTGGTTTTTCTAATCTGTTCTACAGCTGAGTTTCCTAAATTGTGTTCTTTACCATCTCAGCTAGTAGGAGCCTATAGAAATGGAAACACAGAAAAGTCCTGGAAAATTAAAGACGATAGGAGAGATACTTACTTCTTTAGCCCTGTATTTACATATTTTTAAAAACTGCAGTAAATTGTTAGTGTTTGCTGCATCATTTCACTTTCTATATTAAGGCTCTTTGTCTCTTTTTGCCTTACAGAGTTGCTTGTGAAAAGTGGGATCACTCAAATACAGATAATAGGAATAAGGATACTTATACATATACTTACATATTTGTATGGGTGTGTGTGTATGTATATAATCCCCGCATTCAGCAGGAAACTTTAAAAGGCACTCATCAGTATAGTGCTAATTATAATTGCAACAGGTATAATAGTGGGATACAGGGATTTAAGTATATATTACAGGAGTAGATTGGTCCTAACGTGCTTAGCATTGGTCATAATCTATCTTGTTACTATTAAGGTTCTAGACTATTATTTAAAGACGTGGCAATTTAATAATATTTTTGACTTTTGGAGTCTGAAATATTGTTGAAGGGGGTTAAAAATTAGAGAACTATGAAGAAAAGCTTTAGCAGGAGAGATTAAAATTTACCATGCAAAGAGAAAAATATCCTGAATTCTTGAAGGAAAGTATGACGTGTTTAACTTGTAACTGCAGCCCAATGTAAAATGTGTGGTGGGAATTAGACGGTCTTCGACATTCTTCTAAAGTTTAGGGACTTTATTTTTGCCTAAGTCATCAGTAAGTATGATAGGGAGATACTGTTGTCATTGTTTCAAGGATTATGTAAGAATTTTTCCACTTCTTTTTTACCCCTTCCCTAAGGTAAATGAAAAGAAAGTTGACCAGCCTCCAGAAGCTAAAAAACCCAAAATAAAGGTGGTGAATGTTGAGCTGCCTATTGAAGCCAACTTGGTCTGGCAGTTAGGGAAAGACCTTCTTAACATGTATATTGAGACAGAGGTAAGTGCTTCAGGTAAATATTTTTCATTCTGCTGTGTATTTAGTTGTTTAGCCCTGTTACCCATATTTCTAATAGATAAATACGTACACTTCTTTCCCATACTCCCAAGTTCTCTACAGTTTTAGGAATAGGATGAGTCCATAACTAATGGTTTTCCAATTTAATGTTTTTAACAAGCTTTATTTATAGTTTTGCATCCTTTTGAAAGAAAGCTGTACCGTAGATCATTCTGCCAGGTATATAATTGATTGCCCAAGTTCTTGGAAGAAATCAGATGCCAGTATGTCGTAGCACAGAGCACAATACAATTGGTATTTCAGGCCATACTACGTATTTCTGTTAAAGTACGTTGTGCTTCTTTGTAGTCTAGAATATGTGAACATAATTGAGATTCTGTTTTATTTTGCTGAGATGGCAACATTGTGCTTAGAAATTTAATAATTATACCTCACTTATATTTCATAAGTGGGTAAATAAATTTGTAGTCCTTAATTTCAAATATGGTGGCAGAATGGTGTGACCATTATACGCTTGCCGATATTAATCCTAATAGGAGACGATCGTATAACTACCTAAAGAAAATAATAAATTACAGCGGATTGGGTTTTTCCCCCCTTGGTATTAAACCTGAGATGCGGAAGCTATGTAATTTATTACCTAATGTGGTTTTTTTTTTTTTTTTTTTTTTTTTTAAATCACAACCTACTATGTGTATATAGTAAATGAAGAACTTTGTAAGATTTATTGGAAGATTCATGAGGTGTATGTTAGAACTGTTAACACTTTTGGGGGCGGGGTATATAATTGTTGATTTTAACACCAGAGTCTAGTTAAAATTTAGTTACAGATCACAGAAGACTGGAATTGACCTTTTCTGTTTTCTGACAGGGTAAGATGATAATGCAAGATAAATTGGAAAAGGAAAGAAACGATGCTAAAAATGCGGTGGAGGAATATGTGTATGAGTTCAGGGACAAGTTGTGTGGACCATATGAAAAATTTATATGTGAGCAGGTATGTGTAGAGCGTTGTTGTTTTCTTTTTCTGAGTTTATTTTGAGAGAAAGCGCACATGCACGCTCACAAGATGGGGAGGAGCAGAGGGAGAGAGAGAATCCCAAGCAGGCTCCGTGCTGTCCGCACAGAGCCTGATGCTGGGCTCAGTCTCACAAACCGTGAGATCATGACCTGAGCTGAAATCAAAACTTGGATGCTTAACTAACCGAGCCACCCAGGTGCCCCACGTTCTGTTTTTATTCAGATAATCTCATAAAGTGTTTCATCTCAAATCTGACATTTAAATCTCTACTAGATTATGTAACGAGCTTTTTGAAAACGGAAAACTTGAAATAGAAATTGTATAAACAAAGTCTCGGAAAGAGGCCCATTAGTGATGTGCAGTTTTACATTCTAACTTATCCCAGTGACCCTTTAGTTGTTATCATCCACAAGAAAGAACCTATCAAACATTTACTCAGAGTCTGTGACACTAAAGGTTTGGGGGCTAGAGGGATAAATAAGAGGGGAAAAAACCTTGCTTTTAAAGACCTCAGAACTTTTTTTTTTTTTTTTTTTTTTTTTTTAATGACTGGTTCCCTTGCCTGCTCTGTGGTCATTGTTTTATCCCATAAGACTTGTTCATGCAGTTGTTCCAAAGTTTATTGAGCACATTATTCCCCTTAGCCCTTTTCTAAGCTCCCAAAGTCAGTGTGGCTCTGAGTAAATCCCAGAAGCCCAACTGTGAAAGATCGGACTTAGAAAAAAATTGGCTAGATAGAAATTTAGGATGGTTTAGGGATTAATCCTGAAGTTACAAGAATTTAAACTTGGAGGAGTCTGTTTTGTTCTAAGATCCTTGAGCTACCTTGTAATAAACTTGGTTTTTGGCTCTGCCCCGACACTTCCTGAATTTCTTAGATGGTTTGGGTTCTGAAGGAGAGATGACCCAAAATAGGGTAGACCTCCTCAGGCTAGAGTAGAAACAATTACATGAATTGGTTCGGAAATGATTTAGGTTCAGTGATTGAATTGTTGTCAACTTGTCTGACATCTCCCTTTCAGTATTCGGTAGTTGTGGGAGTGAAGAGAAAGTTACTTAGTCAAGGCCCAGTTGCTTTGAAGAACGGGAAGAGAACTGCTCTTCCATAACCACATTTCAGTGTATAGATTGTCCAACACTGGACTTCTGAGATACATCATTAAGTCAGTAAGCAGCTTACCAAAAACTCTCAGATGTCCCTGTGTAAAAGAGAAGCCAAAGAATTACAGTTCATCCCTCATGTAAAATGTATGGCACGGGTGGTGTTTATTGCTCCTTGATAACTTTTCAGTAAAGAGAATCCAGCTAATCAGCGTGCCTTCCTAGAAGTAAGATTGGTTACTTAGCGTTTAACACTTCTGAGGATGACTGTTTTGCTGTGAAAATTTTTGTAGTAAAGTTGCAACTGATACGGATTCTCTTCTGTTTCCCATACAGGATCACCAAAATTTTTTGAGATTGCTCACGGAGACCGAAAACTGGCTCTATGAAGAGGGAGAGGACCAAGCTAAACAAGCATATGTTGACAAGTTGGAAGAATTAATGGTAAGCCCTTCTCTCCCCCTAGACTACAGACTTCTGAGATGCAGTTAGACAAATGCTAATTTATTACATTTTGTTTTAGAAAATTGGCACTCCAGTTAAAGTTCGGTTTCAAGAAGCTGAGGAACGACCAAAAATGTTTGAAGAACTGGGACAGAGACTGCAGCACTATGCCAAGATAGCCGCGGACTTCAGAAATAATGTAAGTCTTTTTATGCGTCGCAAGGAAGTTAACCTAGATTTTAATAAACTAATACCAAGTTGAGGAGCCTTCGTTGTGAACACATCTTCCTAAGTGAGACATTTGTTTTTGTGTTTGAGACCAGAGGAAGGTTTGAACTTCATGGAAAATTGGGTCAGGTGAGATGTTATTGTTAAATACTTCGTTTCACAGGATAACTGTGCTTTTTTTCCATTCAGGATGAGAAATACAATCATATTGATGAGTCTGAGATGAAAAAGGTTGAGAAGTCTGTTAATGAAGTGATGGAGTGGATGAACAACCTCATGAATGCTCAGGCTAAAAAGAGTCTTGACCAGGATCCAGTTGTACGTGCTCAGGAAATTAAAGCAAAAATAAAGGTAAGCATTAATGTCTAATGTTTACTTCTGTGTTCTCTTCGGGACTCCAGTTGTAATCCTGTGAACTTGAGACAATTCTTTCTTTGATCAGTCTTTACCTCATTCTGACTGAAACCAGATTTCTTATTAGTTCACTGTTGATACTTCAAAATACAGAAGACCTTATGTTTCTGTAAAATTCCCTTTTCTTCATTATTCATTTACTTCAATAAATAATACATTTGTTGAGCGCCTACCATGTGGCAGCCATTGGTCACAGGTTAAACTGAGTGTACAGAGGCAGTCCCCGCCCCTGTCACAGTCCACCTGCTGGTTCGAGGAAGGCTTCGCAGCTTACAAGTGCGGAAGGAAGTGTATCAGATGGTGTCAGGTGCTGCGGGCACAAATGAAGGTAGAGTGTTAGGATTCCGGGCACTGGAGAAGGACCCAGATTGGTATTGTATCAAGGAAGGACTTGCCAAGTGTGTGAGGCTTTAAAGAAAGCTGAGAAGAAAACCAAAGAATGCTTTTCATCTGCAAGAATGTTTAAACACAGTGAAGGTTAAAGAATCGTGAGCCTTTGAAGTCAGGGGGCTGTAAACTTGAATCCCAGCTCTTCACTCACTGGTTTTCCTGATCGTGAGGTTAAATTATCCAGCCTCTCTGAACCATCTTCTCTCTCCTACATAGATGGGGATCATAATTCCTACTTTCTAATACTGTTGTGAGGATTAAGTGAGGTAATATAATCTAGGAGTACTTTGCAAGTTCCTGACACATCCTACAAGAATATTCTCTTCTCTCTTGATCAGGCCTCAAGCTATAGTTTTGGGCAAGTGTAACGAGAAAATGAATTCCTTGAGCTGTATATAATTGGAGTTGGTAGAAATGTACCCGTTCACGTGTGTTATGAAAGTAATTGAAAATGAGTGGATGGATCTGAGTTACCCTGATGACCAGTTTTGTTTTCCTTGCTTAGGAGTTGAATAACACCTGTGAACCCGTCGTAACACAACCCAAACCAAAGATCGAGTCACCCAAACTGGAAAGAACTCCAAATGGCCCAAATACTGATAAAAAGGAAGAAGATTTAGAAGGCACAGAAAATCTGGGTGCCGAGCCTCCACGTCAGAACGGGGAGTGTTACCCTCACGAGAAGAGGCCCGTTAACATGGACTTGGACTAGAGCACACTACGTCGGCTTCGTCCTTCAGTCAGTAGATGTTTCTGCCACAGTATGTGACTCTACATAACATACTGAGACTATTTATATTTTCTTTTTTAAGGATGTTTAGAAATTTTGTGTATTATATGGAAAGAGAAAAAAGCTTCAGTCTGTAGTCTTTATGATCCTAAAAGGGAAAATTGCCTTGGTAACTCTCAGATTCCTGTGGAATTGTGAATTCATACTAAGCTTCTGTGCAGTATTCCCATTTGCATCACTGAGGATGAATTTGACTTTTGTCTTTTGGAGAAAATAAACTGTACTGCTTGTTCAAGAGGGCTGTGATTAAAATCTTGAAGCATTTGTTCCTGCCAAGGTAGTTTTCTTGCATTTTGCTCTCCATTTCAGCACGTGTGTGGGTGTGGATGTTTATAAACAAGACTAAGTCTGATTTCATAAGGGCTTTCTAATATTAATTCTGTCCAATAGAATATGACTTTTTGCTTTGATATTAAAAAAATCCAATGAGTAAAGCAAAAGCTAGTGAAATGTGTTAGCAGCATGCAGAACAAAAACTTTCAACTCTATCTCTTGTTATACAGCACATTGTCATGTGAAGGCGTAAATTGGAAGAAATGTGGATTCTGTTTGTCACTGATATTGTGAAGCTTTTATGAGCTTTAAAATAAAGTTCATCTCATGGTGTCATTTCTAAACGGTTTTGTCACTAACTTACATGGGACTGAGGGAGAGGAAAAGCATGTAAACTGTAGCAGAAATGAAGTTCTTTCGTATGAAAAATCCCAATTTTCCCTTTTCTGATACCCCTTACATATGCTTTCTCCCGATAGAAAAGTAGCATATGTTTATTATATTAAACATGGTCTTTAATATAAAGTTGAATGTAACTCCCAACACCCAGAAGAAAACATTAACCTGTTGCGTATCTTTCGAGCCTTTTCCTCCTGATGACGGTGTGTGTGGGGACGGGTATACGTGTTCCACTGTTGTGCAGGATGTTTTCTAAAACTGACCAAGGAGAGAAGTACAGTTAGGTGTTGTTAACTGTACTGCTCTACCGAGTTCCAAGGTGAAGACATACATAAAACTACTTTAACCAGTCCCAGTGCCGGTGGAGAGCGGTTTGTCTGGGTCTTTTAATCTAATTAATCCCGCGGTGAATCCTCTATCTGCATATTTTCTAAGGACAAGAAGTGTCAGGTGTGGGGTGGGGAAGACATGCTCATTTAGGATAGATGACAACCACGCTATACCCACTAAGGGCAGCAGTTTTATGCTCTTTTAATGAGGACCAATTTTCCCTCACCAAGGGGCAGAATGCATCTTTTATGTGCTGCCAGTCTGTTAGAATAATCTATTTAGCTACTGTGTGTCAGGCTTTTCAGAGTTTAGTCCTTAAAACAGCCCCGGCACTCCAGCTACCCCAATCTTAAATCCCACACTCAACAGTCATTCTGCACTAAGTAACTTGTCTTTGTTACGTGTGGCTTGTACTTCCGACATTCTGAATTTGTTTGCCTACGTGTGTTTCATAAAGGTTTTATTCGTTCTTATTTGTAGTGTTTATTGATTTTCCATGTTACTATTGAGGATCTTAACCATTTGCCAACATTCAAACATTTTCCCACTTTGCAATTTCTTTTAACTTTGTTTTTCCATGTAGAGTTGACCTCGTGGTTTTTCTGTTCTCTTAATGCACACTAATACATACTCATTGTACAGTTCCCCATTGACAGGTGAAGGTAGGTTAGTGTTCTGTGTACAATTGGGAAGCTCATAAAAGATGAAAGATTTTAAAATACAAGAATGGGAAAACTTTTTTCTTCCATCCCCAAATAGTACCTGATGACAGAGGAACTATCAGCCTGTCCTAAATCAGTATTAAAGATGGGAAGTTTTCTGTAGTATCACTTTTCTGTAAAGATGAAGTCGTTTTTTGTTTTTTGTTTTTTAATGGCTCAACTAGCTATAGTTTGCAGACCTCAAGATTGCATTTTTGGATGTTGGAAAACAACATTGTCAATGTTGACGACTTCATAATACATGTTAATATTCTAATATATATCATAATATCACACAATTGTGATTTATCTAGCAATCACTTAGAATCCTCAAGGCATGGAGTAGTTTGGATAAATGCTCTATTTAACAAAACATGGAATTTTATATTTAATTTTAACTTAAATGGTCACTTTCTGACAATTATTCCTAAAAATATCTACTCACTGGAGAACATGGGCAGTAACCTGACATTGGCTGTGGCAACTTCTTACTATATATGTCTCCTGAGGCAAGAGAAACAAAGGCAAAAATAAACTATTGGGACTTTATCAAGATAAAAAGCTGCACAACAAAGGAAACAAAAGGCAAGCTACAGAATGGGAGAATATATTTGCTAATGACGTATCTGATAAAGGGTCAGTGTCCAAAATACCTAAAGGACTTAACCAAACTCAACACCCCCGCCCCCCCCCCCCAAAAGTAATCAGTTAAAAAATGGTCAGGAGACATGAATAGGCATTTTCCCAAAGAAGACCTACAGATGGCCAACAGACACATGAAAAGACCTTCAACATCACTCATCATCAGGGAAACCTAAATCAAAACCACAATGAGATACCACCTCACACCAGTCAGAGTATCTAAAATTAACACAGGTAACAGATGTCGGTGAGGATGTGGAGAAAGAGGAACCCTTTTGCATTGCTGGTGGGAATGCAAACTGGTGCAGCCACTCTGGAAAACCGTATGGAGGATCCTCAAAAACTTAAAAATAGAACTACCCCATGATCCAGCAATTGCACTATAAATATTTATCCAAAGGACACAAAAATACTGATTCAAAGAGATACATGAACCTCAGTGTTTATAGCAGCATTATCAACAGTATCCAAATTATGGAGAACCCAAATGTCCAGCAAGTGATGGATAAAGATGGGAGATATATATCTCACATGTGTATGTATATATGTAATAAATTTCACATTACACCTCCCATACATACATACATACAATGAAATATAAGCCATCAAAAAGAATGAAATCTTGCCATTTGCAATGACGTGTATGGAGCTATAGAGTATTATGCTAAGCAAAATAAGAGAAAGACAAACATGATTACACTCACATGTGGGATTTAAGAAACAAAACAGATGAACATGTGAAAAAGAGAAGCAAACTAGGAAACAGACTCTTTACCTATAGAGAATAAACTAGAGAGTTACTGGCAGGGAGGTGGGCCTGGGATGGGTTAAATGGGTAATGGGTTAAGGAGGGCACTAGTAATGATATACTGGGTATTGTATATAAGTGATGAATCGCTATATTGTACACCTAAAACCAACATTACACTATGTGTTAACCAACTGGGATTTAAATAAAAACTTGGAAAAAATGTCTACCCTTGTAGACCCCTGGAGTCTAGTTCATCATGAACATTGGTGAAGTCTGAGCAATGATTAGCTTTCTTGGGTCAAATCCCCAATGTTTACTTTTTATTGTCCTTGATTCCCCATCAAAAAAATGTAATATGCCTCGTTTCAAAAGCCTTTCAAGAGTTACTTTCAGAAAGTCCAAAAAATAAACTTTGGTTGTTGCCAATGACTCACTTTTATCAGCGGCATTTGTATGTGTGTGTGTGTGTGTGTGTGTGTGTGTGTGTATATATATATATATATTTTTTTTTTTTTTTTTTACATTACCACTTCCATCCAGACTTCTATCCAGACTATGGTATTTGCTGTGCAGGAATACGTCACTCTCTCTATGTAATCCACACAAAACAACCCTGTCATGCTTTTCTGGGGAGATGGAGTCTTCTAATGATATTTGGAGAGAGAGATTCAGTTTCCCAAAGTACTATGTACTGTGGGCGTGGTTACGCCCCTCCAGTGGGCAGGGTGAGGAGAAAGTTTCCCCCGTGCCATTCCAGCTAGCGGTGGCAAATGTGCTATGGTTTTTCTCTCCGTGGCCTAGCTTCGCTAGCATTGGGTACTTCCTAAAAGACAACCAGTCGAAATCGGTTATTTTTGAGTCTGTATTTGCATGTGTTTTGTAAATAATATGAGCATGTGTGACATATTTGAAAGCTTCAGAATAATTAGCTCTTCCAGTCTCTGGCGGTTTCATTTTCTCAGAACTGTAGTACAGCATGGGTCCCTTAACGATTCTTAATCTACTTAAGGCGGGTGGCACTGTGTTATGGGGACCGCCTGGCGCCTCATACGGTGTTCAACAGCATCCCTCATCTCTACCCACTAGGTGCCACTAGGTGCCCCTGTTGTGACAACCAGAGAGGACCCCTGCCCCTTGAGAGCCTCTCTAGGGAAAGCGATGACCTTCCAAATCGCACACAAAGAGAAGGGGGGATATTGGCACTTACCTGCCTCCGAGTGCCTCAGCCCTCTGCGAGGTGCTCCTACTCGGGCTTCACAGTCCTCTGAGGGTATGTTTCCCATTTTACCAGTGGGGAAATGGGGTGAAGGACAGTCCGACCAAGTTGAGAGGTTCATCAGAACTTAGATCTGACTCCAAAGGCAGTGTTCTCCCTATGGCAGCAGAGGGATAAAAGTTAGCATGTACTCACCCAGGGGTAACAGTTGGTCAGCGCGGTGAAAATACACTTTTATCATCATTGCAAACGCTCCATGAGAGGCCTCCGAATCTGTTCTCTGCAATCATCCATTGAATGCAACCGTATTAAGATGTGTTATTTTCTCACCAGGCTGTAGAGAGCTTTCTAAGCCCATGCTTCTTTGACACACCAAAGCTTTTCACCACCAAATACAGTCTCTTAGTCCAGTGTTTGCAACCCCGGTTGCGACCGAGACAGAAACCGAGAGGCAGAGAGAGAAAGGAAGAGAAGAGAGAGAAAGATTAAGCAAGATATCAGTGTATAAAAAGAATCAAGATGAGGACTGGTTCTGTTAGACCATTACAAGTGTTCATTAAAACAACAAGACAATTTAACAAAAACCCGAAAAACGAGCTTGCCTCTCCATTAAACGCTGACCCAGAAACAGTGATTTGCAACGCAGGCTACAAGTTAAAAGATGCCAGAAGTTTTTAAAACAAAAAACAAAAAACAAAAAAAAACAAAAACCAAAAAACGAAAACACCCACAGAGATTCTGATTGGGATGGGGCCTGGGCATCAGGATTTGCAAGGCTTCCCAGGGGAGTGTAACCTGCAAACTCAAGAACCATTGAGCTATTGACTATACACAGGATGTATGTGATAGCTGATATTTCAGCCAAGGTATCTGAAGTTCCGTTTTCCGAGCAGTGACGCTATATTCTATAAACTGATATATGCCCATCCATCTACATTTTTCTATACTTAGCCTTTTCTCCTTGGCTATGGATGTTCAATTCTCCCTTAAGCTACCCAACTTCCTCACTCCTCCTCTCCTGTCGCTTCCCCCTAGGGGGACTTGGGGATTGATGTGATACGGTTACCGGCACCTTTCCGTAGGTCTGTGTGTATCGTTTTAATGGTTTCTGTTTTCCTCACTTAAGGCTTGAGGCATATGGAGAATGAGCCCCCGTGCAGCCCACTGAATGAATGGTAGCAGTTATTTACTCTGGTCCTCGTAGGGGCTCCTCCCCTGCATCACCACCACCCCTCACCCCAACATCCTCTGCACACATACTGCAGCCCAGAGATTTCCAACAAATGTGCTCCCTTTTTAATGCTTTCGTCTTTTATTATTAAAAACAAAACAAACAAAGTGGAGAGAATCAGGAAACAACCCCCTACATCCCCCGTACTGGCTCCAGCTCAGTTGGGGATAGCACTGGGTGACAAATTAAGTGCTTCCATAGCTTTTACGTCAAACATACTGGGGGTTCCATTCCGGCTCCACATTTTACAAACAATCAGCATGGCTTTGACATTGACTTCCCCCAGCCAATTTCCTCCATAAGCTCGGTTTCTCCCTCTACAAAGTGGTCGTCCTTGAGGACGAAAGGAGTTGGTCTACACGACGACGTGTTTGGGGATCTTGGCACAGAGCAGGCATGCGGTGAAGGCTGGCCGCACCAAGAGTAGGGAGGGGCTTCCTCTTTGCTAGGTTTCTTTTCCAACACCAGCATATACTGTTTACTCCTACCTGCTATCACTGCACACACGCGTGCACACACACACACACACACACACACACACACACACACATACACACGATAGTTTTTAATTTCTTCCCTTTCATGTTTTCTCTGAAAATCGTGGCTTTTGAAATAGACATGGGCAGTCAACGCATGCCTGTCTTCCTGCTCGGTGAACCAACCAGCCGCTGTGGGGTGAGTGGAAATTCAGTCTATTTATCATCGCCGGGTGCCCAGGGCTACCTCTTTGCTAACACTTCCAGGTCTGGGAATGTTCTAGAAGCCAGATGGCGCCAAAAAAAGGCTCTGAGGGACCATGACTTTATAATCCATAGGCCAAGGACACTATTTGCCCAGGGCCAAAGAAGGGGTGATTGTCAAAATTAGTGAATCGTCCTGTTTACTGGCACCAAAAACCTCCGAGAGAGTTGCCTTAATACTATCCCTTTCCCACAAAACGACAAATACCAGAGTAGCTTTTTTTTTTAACGCCCCTCCCTTTTTATTTAGAAAAATTGGCAGAACAGTGCCGTGCCAGTCACAGCGACAGTCACCTCTCCCGCCCATACCTTCTCCGTCACCCCTCATCCTCCCACCCCTCAAGTCCACTGTGGCGCCCAAGGAACCCCTCCTCCGCACAAGAGCCCGACCAGGTACCTCGGTCCCCCAAACGTCCTTTACGGCTGTTGTGTGGATCCAGCGTCCGATCGAGGATGACGCGCCTCATCACTTCATCTGGGTGTCATAAGCAGCCCGACCCTCTCTAAACGATGTTAAGTGCTGTTTGAGGATTCTGGACATTCTATAGCAACGCTATACATAAATGTTTTGCCTAAAGGAGAGCTTTCTCGAGGAATTTAGAAGGTGATTCTTTATTGGTCAAAGAATTCTCATGAGGTACTTGCATTCGCTGGTCCCAAGTGTGTCTTAGTAACAGCTACCTAATCTTGCGACGAGGGTCATAACATTCCTCCATGAGTAGGTAATTCACATGCGAGGGTAAACGGCCCTACTGCTCCACGGCCACGAAGATAAAACCCAGAAGAGCAGGGGGGCGCGCAGAGCCGCGCCTCCCCGTGTCCAGGAGTGGGGGTGGGCACCCTCTCCGTGAGGAGTTTGGTGGGGACCGAACTGTGCCCACAAGGGAGCACTGACGTTCAAGCCAGGGGCGGAGTGGAGGGAGGAGCGCTGCTCGGGGCAGGGGCTGCTGCTCCGGAAGGAATGGAAGGATGTGTGGCACCCCCGGCCCCCGCGGGGGGCTGCCGGCTCCCACCTCCTCCCTGGGCTCTCCCCGCACCTCCGAGCGGATGCGTCACCCTGACGCGGCAGGGAGGGCCGTGGCCAGGGGGCTTCTTCAGCGCCTGGCGGGCCGGGGCCTGTGGGGTCCACCTGGCAGCGACGGTCCCCCGGTTGCCACACAGTGAGGCCGGCCCGGGGTGCCGACAGGGAAGCAGGCCGTGCTGGGAATCGTCACAAACGACCTGAGCGATTCACGGATCCCCTTCTGCGGACTTGGCCCTTGCGCTTTGCCCCGGAAGGAGCACCTCCCCTGAGATCTCTGCGCGCTCACGGGGCCACTTCAGCGCCTCTGGGCGCTCGCGTGCCGTGCGCTCCCGACGAACGACGAACGGCAGGGACGGGGACAGGCCGACTCCCAGGTCTCTGACTTCCGTGTCAGAGTGAAAAAGGGTGCCATGCCTCAAAATGGAGCCCACAGGAGGAGGCCGGGCTAGAGGGGGGCGTGAGGAGAGCGGAGGGGGGTTTGGGGGGAGCTGAGGGGGGCGTGAGGAGAGCTGAGGGGAGCGAGAGGAGAGCGGAGGGGGGCGTGAGGAGAGCTGAGGGGGGGT